TGAAGATGAAGCGTTAAGGAATTGGTTTTAGATGTATTACCATATTTGACTGCATATAAAGCGCACTTTTTTTTTACTAAAAATATCTTTTAAAATTCTCCTGCGTCTTATATGCCATACTAGCAGTAGAGCCCGGCGTTGCCCAAGGATATAACAGTAAGAGATAGATCAAGTATCCACCATCATAAAGACTGAAAAATAAAATTGACAAAGATTATTGTTTAAGATTGACGGACACGCATGTCTTAATTAGTTTTTTTTTTTACGAATTGGTCAAACCCAAACTCAAACAAAAACATTGTTTTAAATCGTTATGAGTCTACCGATTGAATAGAATTTTATTATAAACAATTGTCTTGTAAATGGAATTTTTAAAGCATTCTGAATGTAAAAATAAAGAAAAAAGTGTGCAAGACAATAAGAAACATTACCTGCCAAAAAAAAAGTGAAATTTTGTTGAAATCGGTTTAAAAATGTAGGAAATCCGATCCCATATATAAACGAACACACACACAGACACACACAAACAACATGGGTTTTATAATAAATATAACTCGATATGATTTGTCCCCCTTTCATTCTCGCGATGCCTTTTAATCGTGTTTTCAAATTGATTTCGTGCAAAAACAATTGTGTTTTTCCAATTTTTGGCGCTGTCAGAACCACCGCAAGTTAATTTTAGGTAATCCTGTGAAGTTTTGTTGAAATCGGTTGAAAATGTAGGAAATCCGATCCAATATATAAACGTACACACACACACACACACAACCTGGGTTTTATAATAAGTATGATGTAGGTTTAAAATTCGCGATAGTCGGCCGAAATTAGCTACCTGGCAACTCCTATTAGCTTACACTTAAACATGAAAGAGCAATGGAATACGTGTATGGCAATGCCTGATCACGACCTTACACTTAGAGAAGAATAAAAAGACCCAGCATTGCACAAGTCTGCGAATGAGTGAAGAAAGCTTGGGATGATATTAGACCAGAAATTGTTGTGAAATCTATTAAAAAGTGTAGCATTAGCAATGCTCTCAATGGAATGGAAGATGACGCATTATTTAACGACCATGATAGTAGTATCGGAGTTTTGATAACGAAGACGACGAATTTCATAGATTTGAAGATGAATAAAATTTTTAATGGTAACTGTACTGTTTTAATTAATTTTAATATTTGCTTGATTTTTATAGGCTCGTGTTCTTTTTTTCCTATTTTTTTTTGTTTAGTTGTAATCATGGTTTGCTTAGCCAAAATGATAGCTCATAAATATAGCCTAATAATTTTACTAATTACTAATTTTTTCTTGAGATGCTGAAATTGGGATACGTCTTATACACCCGTGAGTCTTATATACCGTCAATACGATATTTGTTGCAAATTATTATTCGCTTATTGAGTCGTGCAAGTAAAGTCAGAATAGAAATTAGCTTCCAGGTCGTGGTCGTCCAGATTAGATGGAGGAGGTGCATCCCTAAACCGTGGTTATATCTGCATATGTATTTATTAATGATTTAAACAATGTTTACTTCGGGTTTCGTTCTGGAGAGGCGTTAATTCCGTAGCATAACGAATACAAAAAGAAAAATTCTATTTCTGTTATAAAACAAATATTTTGTATCATAATCTTCATTATTGTCAGCACATTTAACATATTTTCCTCATATATCATATTTTTAATCATGTCACCCCAAGTAAGGCAATAAAGCCATTAAGATGCAAGGATTTACTGAACATGAAAGAATATGATAAAAAGAAAAAAAAAAACATTATTAAGGAGAGACAGAACCTAACGATTGACACTGCATTTTTGACAATCAAAGTTGACAAGCAAGCAAAAGACGGAAGAGAGTTCCACAACGGAGAAGAGCCTGTTAGCATAGAACTTATGGTCAAATTTAGCTATTACAACTGTAAAATAATGAGACCTAACTGCTAATCTAGTAATTTGCTTAAGCTCTTAAGTCGGCGTACCAAAGTGGAAAGGTAAATAGAAAAAATACCAAAAAAATATTTATAGAAAAAACACATGGAAATTTTTTATGACAGTGGAAATGTGACAGAAGCCGAGATGGCACATCAGGACCGATAACATTGCAGATCCTTCTTTAATTTTTTTCAAGTATCTAGCTTTCCTCTGTCTTTTCTACAAATAGTTTCATGTCGTTTATTCTGATCACGTACTTGGTACCAGAATTGAAGCGTGCTACTAGATTGGCAAATAGGTCTCATTGTTTTACTGTTGGAATAGCTAGATGCAATCGTAGGATCTATTTTAAGTGTTTCTTTTCTCGCACTTCTCGCTTGTGGAACTCCCTTTGATGTCTTCTTTTCCTGTCGCCTAAAATGTTCAAAAATTTAAATTCAACGTCAATCGCCATTTTTTGTACTTTTATTGTCCTTTCTCCTCAATGAAGTCATCTCTTTCTCTTCCATTCCCAGTAACCACATACATCCTAGTTGTTACAGTTTTTTGGGTACTGTGTACTAGTGAGCCAGTCAAAATGAGCTGACTCATTTTATAGTTCACCAATAGAAGGGTTAACCAATCAGAAAGGTCAAAATATTCAATGCGACGTGTATAAAGGCAGCCATTTTGTTTTTTTCTCCCAAAATATCCCCACTCCCAACCTGATATCGAAGACTTAAAGAATTACTTAACAGCCGCTACTTTCTCTGAATCTTCACTGCCAAACTCTGATATTGAACAGATTACGGACTTCACTGGATTCCATATTCAGAGCATACGACAAACATGGTCAACACTAGTGACTTTATCGCCTTGTTTGGGGTGAAATGATTAAAAAGAAATGGTTAACTAGACCAAGTAGATCAAACATTATGCAGGGAAATTTTCAAATAAAAATTTAATTAATAACAGCATCAGGCCAAAGATTTATTAATCCGTCACTTCTGGAATAAAAGATGAGGTGTCTGGAGAGGGAGAAAGGATTAAAGTCTGGATTATTCTTGATCATAGATTACACTAAGAGACGCTGCAGTGTTGTCATTTTCTTAAACGGTTTGCCTATCATGGCAAGAGAACACAATCTGTCATGCTGCTTAACACATAGCTGGGGGAGAAGAAAGGGGTTCATACCTCGTTCAATTGTATTTGTGCGAAAGTGAATGCTAAAAAACGACTGGAATTCGAACTCGGCTCTCTGATTCCTCACTCTAAGCCGATATCCGTTACTTTGCCTGCCTTACTATCTCTCTCTCTCTAATATATATAGATATATATATATATATGTGTGTGTGCGTGTGGCACCTTGGTGTGGTGTAATGGTTATCATGCTTGTCTCGCTAGATCAGTTACGACTAAAAAGTGAGTTCGATCCTCACCAGGTACCCCATGCTTTCGGCCTTGTACCACATCTAAGCTACGCTTAGAAAATAACTATATATATATTGTATATTTTTGTAGCATTCCCTCTTTTATGCTAATTTTTCTTAAAAACGAAGGAAAATATTCCCCCTGTACAAGGCCCAAGAGCTACTCGTAAAGAGAGTTACAGAATAAAAGGTACAGTTTATGATTATATATGGGGAAGACAGCGACTTGAATAGGTTAATATTGTAGAGGTCGGTTAAGCATCCTCATCTAAGTTGTTTCCATGAAGCATCGATTCGGTTTAACGAACACGACCGAAATTCGAATCCGGCTCTCTGATTTTATCTTCGAAGCTGCTAACCACTACACTACCCTCCTGTGCCATTTCCCGGGCAGATGGCATTTGCTTGGCATTTGCAAGATCATCATTATCCCATAATTTCCGTAAATTCACACTTGGCGATTTGGGATTCTGAATTGCTCTCTCGAAAAGAAATTCTTATTAAACTTTCAGCTTGGTAAATAATCTCTGAGATTGGACCGAGGTTTTAGTTTGGCATGAAATATTAAAATTTAATTGAAATCATAAAAAGATTTTTCATGATGAAAAAAAATATATCAGATACCAACGAGTGATTTTCTTTTTTACTTTTTTTTTTTTTTCTTCTGATAAAACGTTTTTCTCGCGAGATTTCTTTCTGTTTTCTTTTCGTCTTGTTGCATATAAATTATGGAATATATTTTACATTTTAAATCTGCTTTATTTAAAGATGACTGAACAGCGGGACAGTTTTGTTTTGTTTCTCGTTTTCCGAGATTTAAATTCTTGCGTATTTGACTATTCGTTTTATTATCACTTATTTTATTTTTAATTTTTAAAGGGAATCTTAATGGCTGGTTAATCTCGAACCAGGAGTTATACGCATTAGAAATTGTAAATTGAATATCTGAATTAAAAAGTGGAATAATTTATGTGTTCCCTTTCTTATTAAAACTTTCCATAAATAAAATACCCTATCTATAATTATATAAAACTCTGGAATAAACTAAGTTTAATTTTTTTTTAATTAAGTGACTATTTTTTTTTTCGATATTGATGATATTACCTTAAGAAAAAGGTAAATTTTGTGTTGGAAAAATTATAAGAAATAAATGAAGATGCAAGCAAAAGTTAAAATAATTTAATTACGACATATTTTTTTTTTGGTCGTTTTCATTTCCACCGTCTTAGCCGCCATTACAGATGTCAGCAGATTGAAATATAATTAATCTCCAGCAAAAGACACACTCATGAAAAACAGGTCTTCCTTGGACAAAATAATTAAAGGCGGTAAATAAGTCCTAACTAGCAGTAATCGATTTCAAGAGGGAGAGAAAAAAAAACGAGCTTATTTACGTTCGACGTTTACATATTCAAAATATTATAGAAAGAAAAGTATATGCGTTTTCATAAACACTGAATGATATGATATGCTTACAAAGAAAAGAGTGCTGAATTGCTATGTGGTATCAATCCTCTTGTAAGATAGCGAATGCTGAACGATCATTCCACGGATGAGAATAAAAGTGGATGCAACAGCAGTGTGGTTCTACAGAAAGACACTGAGAATTGCATGAACAGAGCGAATAGGCAACTAAGAAGGACAACTTGGAAAGCTTAACACTCACAGGGCATATCGAGGGCAAGAGAGATAGAAGAAGGCAACGGAACGGGGGTTTGTAGTTTCAAGGAGGCTACATGTTTCGAACATCTATTAGGACAGAATATTGGACTTTCAATGAGGTTTCCTGCTTCCAACATCCGTTAGGATTGAATGTTGTTCTTTGAAATGTGGCATCCTACTTCCAACATCTATTAGAACTGAATGTTTTACTTTCAAAGAGGCTTCCTGCTTCCAACATGAATTAGGACTGAATGTTGTTCTTTTAAAGGAAGCTTCCTGCTTTAAACATGTATTCGGACTGAATGTTGTTTTTTTAAGGAGGTTTCTTGCTTCAAACTTATATTGGAACAGACTGTTGTACTTTCAATGAAGTTCCTTGCTTTTAACGTTTATTGTTACGAAAGCTTGTGCTTTCAATGAAGCTTTCTACTTTCGACGTCTTTTAGGACTGAATGTTGTTTTTTTAAGGAGGTTTCTTGCTTCAAACTTATATTGGAACAGAATGTTGTACTTTCAATGAGGTTCCTTGCTTTTAACGTTTATTGTTACGAAAGCTTGTGCTTTCAATGAAGCTTCCTACTTTCGACGTCTTTTAGGACTGAATGTTGTTTTTTTAACGAGGTTTCTTGCTTCAAACTTATATTGGAACAGAATGTTGTACTTTCAATGAGGTTCCTTGCTTTTAACGTTTATTGTTACGAAAGCTTGTGCTTTCAATGAAGCTTCCTACTTTCGACATCTTTTAGGACTGAATGTTGTTCTTTTAAAGGAGGCTTCCTGCTTTCAACATCTATTAGGACTGAATGTTGTTATTTTCAATTAGGCTTTTTTCTTCCAGCATCTATTAGGCTTTTAACGAGGCTTCCTGCTTTAAACATCTATTAGTACTGAATGTTGTACTTTTAAGGAAGCTTCTTGCTTCAAACTTATATTCGAAATGAATGTTGTACTCCCAATGAGGCTTCCGGCTTTCAACGTGTTTTAGGACTGAATTTTCTACTTTAAATGGGACTTCTTGCTTCCAACGTCTATCGTCACTGAAAGTTTTACTTTCAATGAGGCTTTCTGTTTCCAACGACTATTGGCACTGAAGTCTTTCTTTTCAATGAGCCATCTTGTTTCCAATTTCTGTTAGGACTGAATGTTGTACTTTCAATGAGACTCATTGCTCCAAACGTCTATTGGGAGTGGTGGTTGGACTTTTGATTAGACGTATGATTAGCTACGATTTGAAGGGTCACAGAACGTAGAAGAATTACAGTGTTTGCAAATTTACCCAATATTAACGAAAAGTAAGTAAGACGTAATGAACAATATATATATATATATATATATATATATATATATATATATATATATATATATATATATATATATATATATATATATATATATATATATATATATATATATATATATATATATATATATATACATAAATAGAAACTAGGTACTTTGAAAAAATGAAAAATGAATTAGGTAATTCAATTTAATTTAATTTCTATAATTGAATTTGTTTGCAATTTTACCCAATATTAGCGAAAAGTAAGTAAGACGTAATGAACAATACTGAAAGGTCGGTGTATACACACACACACACACACACACACACACACACATAATATAATTATAATCTACACTCTGCTTGTGTATCGAGTACTGTTTTTTAAATATAAAAAAAAATACTAAAGAACATCGAATCATCAATCTAACGGTTCTTTCCAATTTTATCAATATATTTGCACACACACACACATACACATATATATATACATTCATGAATTATTCATACAAAAAACAAATACAAAGGTTAATGATTTAATTGGCGAGAAATCCATCGTCGCGAACAATTCAAATAATATACAAAAACCCCGAACCTGTTATGAATGAAAAGATCCTTGTTTTTATAAATTTCTGTTGCATTAGTTCTTATTTTTAACTACAAGCTTTCGTCTGTTCCTACAGACATCTTCAGGTATGGAATAGATTTTGTTCTTGTTTTTACTCTCAGTAATAAGAGGACAACGAAAATATATGTATTGTTGTATCCGAAAAATGCTATTAGAAATGAGTTATACACACACACATATATATATATATATACATATATATATATATATATATATAAACATAAAAGTGAACATAGAAGTCAACACTTAGAGGCAACAGATGCAATCCTCAGGCCTGAAGATTGCATCCAGCATGAAACAGACTGTCGCTTCTAAATGTTGACTTCTATGTTCACTTTTATATTTACACACGCTCTATCTCTTATACTGAGCACTTTATCCCATAAATACAGCACATCTTATGACTATATTTCTTCATATATATATATATATATATATATATATATATATATATATATATAATGTTATTTTTAACCAGACATATATTTATTTTTTTTCAAACGTCATTTTTAGAGATACCCGAGTAGACCTTCTGGTTTTAATTTTTTAAATTATTTATTTCTTTTAGCGGCCTACTCCCTGGAGAAAACTTATTGAAGACAATATGCTCTCTGACAGAATTCGAGACGTCTGCCTTCTTTGTAAGGGAATCCCGTCTAACCTGATGTGCTTTAACCGCTCGGCTACAAAGAGCCATATGATCACGACGGGTTCTATTTGCCTTGAAAACATACCGACTCGTTCAGATTTCTCAAAATGGATATTTGCTCATTTTTGTATCTGAAACGGAAACAACGCAATTTCTAAAGAATTTATGACATATTTTCAAAAATTAAAACATTATTCTTAATGAATAACCAAAACCTGCCCTCACCCTCGCAGTTTATGGCGATATGTGGGGAAGATAACGGTTGATTCTAGTGAATAGATCAAGATTGAGCGGGAAAGCATCCTCTTGTGAGTCGGCTCCAGAAAGCAATGGTTTGTGTGATGAAGCTGCTGAAATGGAATTTACATATCGTCAATGAAAGACAAATGGAATGAGGGTACAATGCACACAATGTGCGTATCATGGCGAGTCTCAGCCGTGAAGGTTTGGACTGGTGAAACAAAGGAATGCTGTTCATCTGAAAACTTTCCATGGAAATAGCAACAGAGCGGCGATGGTGTTCGTCTGTGGGAAATTCGTCGTACGGTGGGAAATAATTAATCACCCACAAGGATATGGACACGGTTTTAGATTCTGTCGAAACTTGGTTGGGGGTCCCTGCCCATATATGGCAGCAGTACTCCATTTTTGGCTTGACCTGGCCCTCGCAAAGATAGAGGATAGCAGGAGGGGGTCAAGTATTAGGTTGGTGCAAAAATAATTTCATTTTCTAACATATGTTACTATTTGAGAAAACGAAATTATTTTTGCACCAACCTAATACTTAATGAAGCAGTACCATTTTTCCTGTATCTTTAGCCATGGAAACGTATCTACGAGTTCCACTTGAGGTTTAATTTGAGCTTAAGTCCCAAGAGACGCTCAAGGCACGTGGCCTCGCCGAGAGAACACCCGTTCATTGCAATAGGTAAGAATTCAGGTTCCGTTTTGGCCTGTCCCTTAGCAACAAAGTAGCCAAAACGTTAAAGATTAAATCGTTGAATCTATTTTCAAATCCTATATTTTAAATATATTAGGTTGGTGCAAAAATAATGTCGTAATAATGTCGTTTTTTGACGTTAAAAAATACGTCAAAAACCGACATTATTACGTCATTATTTTTGCACCAACCTAATATTTATATTTGAGAAACACTTTTCCAGTTTCTTTACTTTCTACTTTGATCGTCAGAAATTTAAAGTTTCAATCGTAAATTTTCTGTCACCTTAAGTCCTGTTTCTTTAGTGCCCCCCGCCCCACTCTCCTTAATAATGATTTATCTCAGCTATCTTTCACTCTCTGTAACCGCTAACGGGCTTTATTGCCTTGCTTGGGGCGAAATGATTAAAAACAATATTAACTTAAATATTGTACAATATTCTTGAGATAAAATTTCATCATGATAAATATCGCATTTCTGTAATGAGAAGTTATCAATATTTACATTTGAACTAATATCATTATCTTTGTTGTTATTATCACAACATTTCGGCTGATTTGTCCTCCAGCCATCTTTAGATGTTTACTGATCCAAGTTATTTTTAGGGGATTTTGAATTGAACCGTTTATTTTATCTACGAGGGTAGATTGTTCTCGGTATAATCTCCATATTAAGCGACATCTGGTCTTGTTCCTTATTAATACTGCTTTGTTATTGCTTACCCTTTTTCCAGTCAGCTTTAAATCCGTAGTACCCAGCCCAGGGACTGAACTCACAATTGCAAAGCCACTAAATTCCCGACCCAAGTTTTTCACCCACTAGGCCTGTAGTATATATATTCAGTGGAAAGAGGGCTGGCAAAAAGTGAGCAGTACTGAAAGAAAAAGATGACAATGAAATCTGTACAAGAACATTCTATTTCCGTAGATTAAATAAAGTGTTCGGTTAACTAGATTGAAAGACAACTGAAGAAGACCAGAGAGCACAACGGCTGAAACGTTGTAACAATAACAACAAAGATCAAAACCTTAGTGTGAATGCAAATGAAAGAATGCATTGCAAATAAGCCAAATGACACTAAGAATTATATAAAAAGGCATTTGATTTTTTTTTATGTCGAATTCATTATATTCACTTACGTGCTAAATGTACGAATCCTCTTCTCCTCCCCCAGCTTTGTGTAAATAGCGGCACAGCCCGAGTTTTATATCCTTGGGTGGCAACTGGTCTATAAAATATATTTGCGAAACATTTACATTTAATTAGAAAATGTAGTTTATCAACAAACAAGTTAGCATTTTAAGCTTTTAATTGATTAATTTAAACAAACACTGAAAATTCTAATTAAATGTAAATGTTGTGCAAATGTATTTTGATTAAAGTAACAGTATTTCATATTTTTTAACCCTTTTGTATCTGGTCTTAAGTTTTTGACTAGGGGTGTATTATTACCTTTTTCCAAGAGGTATTTGTGAGTAAGTGAATGAAACAAACCCGACTTGAATTCGAACTTAGCTTTCTGATTACTTATTCCGAGCCGTTATCTATTACGCCACCTGCACATCCACTTTAACAACGGAGATCAGCGCTAAACATGAACTGGAAACAACATATGTCCTTTGAAGAAATATATGGGAATCTAACAATGGTTATGGTTAGAATCTGTGAAAGCTAACTCTGGTTTAGTGGCCATTAGTGGAAAAGCAAACAATAAGTTGTGGATCATTTGGGATCCAAGTTATGAGAAAAGAATGAGAAGTAAATTAGCAAAAAACTTACATCAATCGATTCATAGATGAGACTGGAATCAGAAGGAAACAACTAGGCAGAAATAAAGTGACATATATATATATATATATATATATATATATATATATATATATATATATATATATATATATATGTCACTTTATTTCTGCCTATATATATATATATATATATATATATATAAAAGAAATATGTTGTAGTGGTTCCAACGAGAGAAAAGTATGTATATTAAAAAGAAGAGGGGTGCCGCAAACGTTTTTGGTTGTAATGTGGATTTATTGAGAAAAAAATATTATACTTTGTTTTACATATTTTCACGACACGTGTTTCTGGTCTGGTCTCGCAACCGTCTTCAGGTGAAAGTGGAGATTTTACATATTATTAAAAATGATTAATTTTCTTCATGTTCAATGTGGAATATTCTCGATATGAGACATTCTGTTTGTGTGTTGGCAATCCGAATTTTCTTTCTAGAATTGTCAATGAAGAGTTCTGCGTGAAGGGTCATATATATATATATATATTATATATATATATATATATATATATATATATATATATATATATATATATATATATATATTGAGAGAGAGAGAGAGAGAGAAAAGAGTCAGTGACATAGATAGATATATAGATACAGATGAACAAACTGACGTTGATAGAAATAGAGCGTCGTAGATAGATGAAATGAAGAAAGTATTTTAGATAGATAAATAGATATAAATGAACAAAGTGTTGTAGATATATACATATATATATATATATATATATATATATATATATATATATATAGATAGATAGATAGATAGATACAAATGAACAAATGAACAATAGATAGATGTTGATAGATAGATAGACAGATAGATAGAACAAAGATAGATAGATAGATAGATAGATAGATAGATAGAAATGAAATGAACAAAGTTACTTGTAGATAGATATATATATATAGATATATATATAGATAGATATAAATGAACAAAGTATATATATGATAGAAATATAGTAACGTAGATAGATATATAGATAGAAATGATTAAAGTGACAGTATATAATTGATATATAGATTATATATATATATATATATATATATATATATATATATATATATATATATATATATATATATATATATATATATATATAGAGAGAGAGAGAGAGAGAGAAAAAAGATAGATACAAATGAACAAAAGTGTTTAGATAGATATATAGATACAGATGAACAAAGTCTTGTTGATAGAAATAGATATATATATATATATATATATATATATATATATATATATATATATATATATATATATAGATAGATAGATAGATACAAATGAACAAAGTGAGAGATAGATAGATAATGAGATAGATAGATAGATAGATAGATAGATAGATACAAATAAACAAAGTGTTTTAGATAGATAAATAGATAGAAATGAACAAAGTGTTGTAGATATATATATATATATATATATATATATAGATAGATAGATAGATAGATAGATACAAATGAACAAAGTGTTGAAGATAGATAGATAGATAGATAGATAGATACAAATAAACAAAGTGTTTTAGATAGATAAATAGATAGAAATGAACAAAGTGTTGTAGATATACATATATATATATATAGATAGATAGATAGATAGATAGATAGATAGATAGATAGATACAAATAAACAAAGTGTTGAAGATAGATAGATAGATAGATAGATAGATAGATAGATAGATAGATAGATATTAAAATTAACTTGAAAAGATAAGATAGGTGTAAAGTAAGAACGAGATGAAAGCGTTCGAACCCATCGCCATGCTGAGACATTATCGACCCGAAAACATTCAAATGTCTTTGCTTGTGTCGAATAAATAATGCGTGTGACTGGATTATTTCAAGAAACTTTACAGATTGGTTCAAGCAACAAAACAGTTCCATGATTCTTCTTTCTCATTGTCTTTGGACGTTATTTTGTGATATCGATCACTTACGTCTGAAATGTCAGACGAACAAATTGAAACATTCATCAGTTTGATTGATCCGTCTCTTTTAAGAGAAAAAGCAAAAGAGACACTTAAAAAGAAAATGTCCGAAACCAGTGAACAAAATTCGGAAATGATTTGTCCTTTGATTTGTCAAAATGCGATCACTTCATCATTCTGAAAGATTACATTTCACAATATTTCATTTTCTCGTATCAGAATTAGAAGAAAAAAAATATGATTTCGACCTGTAAATCTTCTAACCTTCAACAGACCTTTAGGATCATGGGCGTGGTCAAATAGTAAGCACAGCAGAAAACGGGCATCGGGTATCGATTTGAAAAATAATGATCGACATCTGTCCGTATCGAATATTTAAAATTCTCTTTAAGCTTTGGAAACTATTACGCCTCATAAACATTTCTACGACACATAATGTTGAAAGAGGGCTTAGAGAAGTTGACACTCACAGGAGATATTGAAGGCAAGAACGACAGAGAAAAACAGCCCATAACCTAGTTAATGAGCCTCTATGAATATTTGGCAGAACAGGGTTTAGGAGAAATAGGAAAAAAACAATATTTACTAATAGCTACAAAAGGCACAAAATTATGGCGAGTCACGATTGCTAATATCAAGAAGTTGAAATAATCTAATAAGAAAGATTAATATTTAATAATTTCCATCTATTTGACAAAATTCTGATTCCTCAGTATTACCAACCATGTTATTTAAAGCTAGAAAATATTTTAGATTGTCATAATTTTATGGGATAATAAGGATTTACTGATACAATTCATACTAATTAACACGGAACTGGTGGGGAGAAGTAGGTTCATATCTTTCCTGGGGAGGGGTATTTGCACGAAAATGAATAATATAACGAACACGACAGGAATTGGAACACGTCGCTCAAATTTCCAGTTTCGAGCCGTTATCCATTACATTATGAGCTCATCCAAGCTCTCAGCACCTGGGATTCCCGAGCGGTCACTCAGCTAAGTACTGACCAATCTCGACGTTGCTTAAGTTTGGTGATCGTACAAGACACGGTGTTTCAACGTTAGTTGGCCTTAAACCGTAAAACTTTTAAGACTTCAATGCAAAGAGAATCCCAATATCAGCTTTGGCCTCTTCAAAATTGATAAGCACTTTTACCTCATTTTTTTTTTTCAATTATCTAAAATGATAGACGGAGCAAAAGGAGAGTAAGATGGTTGAGTCAAAACTAACATAAGCTGCTATAATGCTTTCAAGAGATATCAATATTTCTACGTATTAACCATTTCATTTTAGTCTATCTCTTCATGATAAGCAACAGACTTTATAATACGAAATCCAGAGCAAAATTTTGTCTGTAGTCCCGATTTGTAAATAAATTCACTTTTTTTTCGGTGGGTGTCAACCACTATCCTTTTCGCTGATTATGCTTATAGATAATTCACATTTCAGGTTATTGAACTCACAACACGTTTATCCAGTGGTTCTTTGAAGAGTTGGTCAAAGAGATTTTTGAAGTATTTTATCCCAAGCAAGACAGAAGGGCCACTAGTACACAAGGGACTACAAAGAGTGTAAGGGGAAAAAAAAACTGGGTATAGGCGTGGGGAGGAAAGGATAAAAAGAAAAACAGGGATCAAGGCAACAAAAGATGTCGATTGACATTACATTTAAATTTTTGAAGATTATAGTTATCAGGGAAGTAAGTAAGAGGAAGGGAGCTCCACTGTCGGGAAGTGTGAGAGAAGGAGCTGTTGGAGCTGAAGAAGCGGTTACATTTAACTGTTTCTACAGTAAAAGGGTGGGACCAAGATACCAGTCTAGTAGCACGCTTAAATTCATGCAGTCGGCCACCAGCGATAAAATAGCTCATCAGAGCTGATGCCATGAAAATATTTGTAGAAAAGACAGAGGGAAGCCACATTACGTCGGTAAGAACGTGACTGAAGTCGAGAATCCAAGTCAGGACCGATCACATTGCATATCCGTGTTTGGATTTTATCGTGAACCTTGAGATGAACAGCGGGGGCACCAGACCATATATAGCAACAGTATTCTATACATGTCAAAGAGTTTTGAGTTCAATAACTGGCCACAGCAAAATGGAACAAAATATTGGGGAGTTGAATTACTAAATGGAATTAAATGAACCTGAGATATTCAGAAAATGCATGGCACGTGGAATTAGAACAATCTACCTGGGTGGACGAAATAAAGGGTAGGTTTCACCTGAAGAAGGCCAGAGGGTAAAACGGCCGAAACGTCATGGATATAGAAATAAAGATGAGGACAACAATAATGCAAACAGAGTCATTATGCTACCTATTTTAGTTGTTACTTTTGGAAGTGATGTGGTTTTTGCGATTTAAGTTATTTGTCTCTGAAGCTGTAGCGCCTGTCTATGAGGCGGGATGAAAGAGTGCCTGTTTTAAGAATGGAAGGATTCATTAGTTTAAAGCGATTTTTAATCATTAATATAAAAAAAGTGCTTGTATATAGCAACTCGTCCGCACATTTCTGCACAAGTTGGACGCCATTCCTTGAATCCATGAGAGTCTAGTTCTGTCGAGGCTATTTAAAAACATTGTTTTGTGGCATATTGCGATGTTGGGAAAAGAATACGCTTAGTGCAGCCTATCCTATGTTCAATCTCCTTGGCCGAGTGGTTATAATGTTCGCTTTCTAATACTGAGACCCACGTTCAAATTTCACCATAGGTGATTGATCAGGGGGTGATTTTCCGACGCGCGCAGCACCAAAAAGTGGGAGACTGAAAACGATACCACGGGTTGACACTAGTCTTGCGAGCGAAATTGGGTAGACAGAACTCTTCAGAAGCCATTGATGGTCGTGAGCGCAAAAATCACAAGTCATCGTGACCGAGGAGTTGAGGGTGTTGGCTTTGTTCAAACTGCTGATCAGGCCTTATTGAAAAAAAAAAAAACGATCAAATTTTAATGACCAGATTTTGTACTCTCTCTCCAGTAACTGTAACTAAGGTATGCTCGGCACAGTTCTAGTATAAACAATAGAGTAAGTATTAGTAATGGAAGAGGTTATTTAGCCAGTCCCGAAAAACATGCTTTGAGGCTTATTTTACCGGTCTCGGTAAAACATACCCCCGGGCTATTTTACCGGTAAATATTGTTATTATTATGAAGGATAGTTATATGTGTCTTCTGTCACCATGCTCACAGGAGTATCACTGATCATATAGTACTTGATGTCAGGCTTGAATTAGCGATTCTGCATTCTCTGGTGAGCTGTAGCAATCATTTTACTGTCTCTTTTCTACAACTGCACATGGTGGATTGGTAACATTTCTGTTTCTCTTCTAGTTCAACTAATGAACTGAAAATATCTCCAACACTGCGTTCGATGGCTATACTGAATGATTACTGTTTATTATATATAATATTCAATATTCTTGTTCTAAAACACTATTGATATTGGCAAAATAACCATGGTGTCTATTTTACCGGGAACGGTAAAATAGCCTATTCGATCAGTAACACGGTTTGGCTAGGTGTCATGGAAGGTGGGTGTACTCGGTAATGACCAGGTAATTGGCCAATATACTAAAGTTTTAATAGATGATCCTTATTATATTTACTAAATATAGTTTTTATTTAGTAACAATAACATCTAACCGGTACAAATTAACAGAGAATTTTAAATGATTAAAAATTTTATATTAGGTTGGTGCAAAAATAATAACGTAAGAATGTCGTTTTTGACGTTACGTCAAAAAACGACATTATTACGTCATTATTTTTGCACCAACCTAATAAATTATTCTAATTAAAATTTTTTAAAAATTAGGTCATTATTGTAAAACTTCCTTATTCACCGAGTTTTTTTTTTTCTTAACACAAATGGTATCCATAATATATATCTTATGCATAAAAGCAATTAATAACTTTTCTAATTAAATAACGTTTTAGTTTTATGGCATTTACGATTCAGAGCAGACTGGAGTTCCTGTTTTACAAAAAAAAAAAAAAAATTCATTTATATCTCATATAAAACTTAAGTGGCACAAAAAATGATTTCTCGAAATTTCATAAAATTAAATAGGTGGGGCGAAGTAACAAAGACAAAAACTATTTTCACCAAGATTTTTCTAAAAAGTAAATAAGAAACATTTCTAGAATAAATTCATTCATTTTTCAATAGGTCCTGAAAGTTTAATTAAAATTTCCAAATCAATGTATTTTTCACTGCAAAAATTTCATAATTTATGATCCCTCAATGACGAAAAAAAAAACCCAAAATTAACCAAAATTTTCGAACGTTCTAAAAAGGATAAAAAAATATAACCTAATAATCAAAAAACACTTTGTTCTTTCCTCTTAATAACATAACGATTTTAATGATAAACCTTTGTTTTTATTAAGTTCCGGGTATTATTTGTTTCATGACGCACTAATTTATTTTTTTATCTTTTTTAGCGAGTTTTTGGAGGGACCTACTTAAGATTATTTTTTTTATTTCATTTCCATAATTCTTTCTGCTATCTTTTTTCATGAAATATTTTATTTTTATTCATGTTTTTACTTATTGACATATTTAATTACTTTTATTTTCATAGGAGAGTTAATAATAAATCCCCGTTTAGCATGGCACAGTAACATACTACTAAAGCTTCCATCATAGCATTAAGGCAGTTTTCACTCTATTCTTGTGCGTTTGATGTTAAGATAAAATTCATTGATATATAATTGCTCGTTTGATCTTTGTTTATTATTGGATCTACTTTCAAATTATATTAAAAAAAATATTTTCAACGCATAAATATGTATTACAGAATGAATAAAAAAGACAAGAGAAAAAACTATACTTAGCCGATGCGTTACAACATCTGAGTGTCTTTATCAAGGCATTGTATTGTTTATTTGCAAGTGTTTATGTACAAAAGCGAGGATGTCATTGATTTATCAGGGCTTCTAAATTTGAGAACATTCATGAATGCTCATCAGGTGGTTTAAACGTTATTCAAAACATGGGGAGGGCAGAAAGTTTCATAATTCAAAGTCTGATAAAAAGTGAGTAATATTCACGGAATATTGAAGAATTCATGTATGTTCATATATATATATATATATATATATATATATATATATATATATATAGATAGATAGATAGATAGATATATAGATCATCCACAGACGGTTTGCTGTATCACAGCTCATCATTATGTATATATATCAACTCATTATATATATATATATATATATATATATATATATATATATCACAGCTCATCAGGTCATTATTATATGTATGTATCTGCTCATCATATATATATATATATATATATATATATATATATATATATATACACTGCGTGCCAAATTATTATCAAATAATAATATTTCAAAAAGGTCGAATCAATTCACACAAAATTTTCACACAATGTTGGCAACACTCACCTGTGCAATAACTAAAATTTTCGTAATGATCTGCGCAATGTAAACAAACTGGCGCCATATTTGTTATTTGTTCATTGGACGGTTTTTGAAATATTAGAAAAAAGTTATCTCGATCATAATTTGGAACGCAATGTATATATATTTATATATTAAAATGATTCATTTATATATATAAGATTCATTTATATATATATATATATATATATATATATATATATATATATATTTTGTCTATATATATATATATATAAATATATATATATATATATATATCACAGCTCATCAGGTCATTATATATATATATATATATATATATATATATATATATATATATATATATATATATATATATATATATATATAGACAAATATATATTTAGAAATTTGAAAAAGTGTCATGTATTCAATACTTTTCCATAGGATAATTTTGAACTTTGATAAAAAAAAATGGATTCAACCATGAGTTTTAATTTTCATTCCACATACAACTAAAACAACTTTTTACGAGATATTACTTACCAAATATCAGGCAAAATGGCGACCATAAACTAGAGTTATAACAGAAAAATAACATGTATCCAATACTTATGCGTGTCACTGTATATATATATATATATATATATATATATATATATA